ATATTTGTTTACATCATTGCTGCCTTGTGAACGGCGCTGCAGGTCTCCTCTGTTCTTGTCTATGGTTAACATGAGGCACTTTTGAATGTAAGAGTAATGTGTAAGTGAATGCATGAAACATTCCTTGGGAATGTATAACAGGTATTGGTATATTTACTTAATGTCCATGTATTATAGAGGCTTTTGTTCAAATATAGATATTGGAACCGTTCTACTTCCCGTAGCTACATGTTCTAGTTTGTACGTTTCATATCTACAAAAATAGTGGATTGTGGAACTGAAAAACCGGTTTTTCTGCCACAGCTACATAGGGATGGGATGCACTTTATCCAGAAACAATTAGGCAAAAGTTTCCTTCCTTCAGCAGATAGCTTATGGCCTATAATATATATACGGTAATTATGTTATTTAGTAGATATGTGTGTAATTTCCCCCCAAACATTTTTGTTTGTGCAGTAATGCAGAATTACAAGAACTTAAATATTATCTTCTTATTTTATTACCAACACATCCTAACCTTTAACACGGTGGAATTTTGCAATGAATTCTCAAGTGGTTTCCCATTTAGACACTGATCATAGCCAAATGCATTTGGTTTCAGAAAAGTGTTTGTACAGCATTATAAGATAACTGAAGCATATTCGTAATTTCTGAGATACTTAATGTTAAGATCATTGTAGAAGTTTGCTAGCCCATTTTCTGCTCTGAGCATCACAGCATGAACTAAGTGCCCCTTTCTGGCCTAGCTTTCAGATTGTATTAATTTTGAATAAAGAAGAACAGGTGAGTATATTTTTTAATATTTGGAGTGTAGCTGGTGGTGGTTCCAAACAATACTGACAGAGCCTAGATAGTTCAGTAAATCTATGCTGAACACATTTTGGAAAAGCAACTAAGGCCCAGGCATGTTTTCTGCACCCCTCACATTATTGGTCAAAGATTTGTTCCTGTTAGTTTTTCACAAAAAGACAAAAACAATGCATCTCATATTTTGTAGTTTCCAAAATTTCAGGCCTTGTTGTATTTTAATACTTGCAAGTCAACACTTGTGTACAAGAATATGTATTTGGTAATATGGATGTGGTATATTTAATTGCTAAAATACCAGTCAAAATATTATCCAAATTTAAGCTATTCAGCCAGTAATGGAAGGGAATAGTAAGGATCGTGTATTTTGACAGATGGTAGATTAGTGTGAAACCCGCAGGGTGGATCGATGACAAATTGGATAAATAAATAAATATCCATATTATAGTAGAGATCTAAAAATACATTTTTCATTTTGAACAAAAAATATCTTCATGCGTATGTGTTAGTGAATGGCAGAATTGCTTCTTAAATGCTGCGATTCTGTGCTCCCTTTCCTTGGAGTAAGCCTCATTGAACTTGATGGGGCTTCCTTTTCAGTAGATATGGCTAGTAGACATTGCATTGCAAGTGTCCTGACAAGAATACTCATACAAAGTCCAGTTTTTATCTCTCTCTCTCTCTCTCTCTCTCTCTTTTTTTTTAAAAAAAAACACCAACTCAGTTTCTCAGTCTTTGTGTTGAGTTGGCTCTTTCGAGAGATGTGGGTGGAACCCATTTCTCATTGGTTGCCTCACTCTGCCCAGATGGTCTCATCTTACACCACCAACCCTCATTCTAGCTTTGAGCAAATATGTTGCTTCAGGCCATGCTGCCTAGGGAAGGGATTGGACAGACTGTATGATACTAATTGTGTACTAATTGTATTGTGCAATAGCACATAAATCACACAAGAATATAAATTATGTTTTGCTTCAAAGGCCAAGCAATCCTGGAGTGTTCCAGCTGTGACTATTGATGGGAGGACACTGAGTAATTGAGGATTTTCAGGTTTTAATGTATTACTTCTAACCATTAGTCCTCCTGGCTGATGCCACAGTAGGTGGCTGTAGGAACCTCATGATTTGTGGTTATTAAACTTTCTGCAAGAATGTACAAGCCATGCTGTATGAGATATGGAGAGCTCAAGGAGGTGCAGTTCATATAATGGGAGGGGATTAGTCATGCTGTCACCTATATAGAGGTAAATTGTAACTGGCCAATTGTATTGCTGTCATAAAAAACTTGAAATAGAATAAATGATTATGTAAAATGTCACTTTACCTTGTTGGTCCCATGATTTATAATTCAGAATGTTTCATTTGAGGCTTTGAAATAAATATGTACATACAGTTGGTTGCTTGTATTTAATTCCTTCTACAATTAGTAAAATAATGAGTGCGTTACATCATAGTGATGAATCAATCAGGGATAACATCAGTTCTTTTGTGATGCAATTGTTTTAGATTTATAGTTGCAGGGTGTAGCTTCATTAAACAGTAATTGTGGAATATCAGGTAGCTTTAGATCTGCTCATTTTATTCTTTATATTGCTACTTTATGCTCTGCTATGAAAGATGAAGTGTGTAAGGAGAAAGTATATGTTATATCATCGGCAAGAAGCCTGCAGAATTCAGACTTTTTTTAAAAAGATAACAGCATTTTAGTCACTTTCATTTTGAAAAACACATACAGAAAAGGTTTATTTAAAATTGAAATAAACATCAGCTAATTATAAATAATAGTATGATGTTGAGATTATACAGTGGGCCCTTGATATCCCCTGGAAGTTGGTTCTAGGAGTGCCCTTTATAACAAAATCCGTGGATTCTCAATATTTATGATGTACAATCACAACGTAAAAAGGTGTTCCTTATATAAAAACAAAGACATGGTTTTGGGGCCAAGCCTTTGGCTAGTAAAGTAATGCAGTGTAAGAAATAATTAGGGAATGTGTTCAGTTGGGGAAAATGGAAGGAAAAAGGAAGAGGGGCTCGCCATGGACAAGATAGATGGATGGTATCCTTGAAATGACTGGCTTGACCTTGAAGGAGCTGGGAGTGGCCATGGCCGGTAGGGAGCTCTGGCAGGCTAGTCCATTAGGTCACGAAGAGTCGGAAGCAACTGAACGAATAAACTACAACAATGTGCGGTTGAATAATGATCAATTAAGACCATTAAATATAAGACATAAGCAACATTTAAACATTAAAACATCCTAGTATAAACATTCAAATCACATGATCCAAAATCATAAACTGTAGTCATTCCAAATTGTCAATTGCACATTGTTGTTGTTTATTTTTGTTTATAGCTATGTTATTGTTTCGATATTATGAATTTTTACATGTCTGTCTGGCACTGAATTTTGCCATTAGTATGTTGTTAATCGCTTTGAGTCCTCCCGGGTGAGAAAAGCGGTATATAAATACAGCAAATAAATAAAAAAATAAAATGCCAAAATCAAAAAGCTGTATAAAATAGCTTTTTGAATGTTCTTTAAAACATTTTCCAGCCTTGGATGCTTGAATTGGTGGATGCTGCATCTGTGGATAGAGAAGTCAACTGATTATATTTTACATTTTTTAAAGTTTTGGTAATCTATGCTTGAATGCTAAAATCCAGAGAAGCTAGATTGAGAAGAATGCATTGTAGAGGTTTCCAGAAAACGTATAAATGGAAACTTTTGTTTAAAAATTCCCAGAAAATGTCTGGTGTTTTAAGTAATTTACTACATTTGGTTTAAATGTTTTATTATAATACATGAAAAGCTTTATGTAAAAATTTCATGTGTAGTAAATGTTCCTAACATTAGGTCTTGTCATGTCCAACTCTGGGGGGTGGTGCTCATTTCCATTTCTAAGCCAAAGTGCCGGCGTTGTCCATAGACACATCAAAGGCCATGTGGGTGGCATGACTGCATGGAACGCTGTTACCTTCCCACAGAAGTGGTACCTATTGATCTACTCACATTTGCATGTTTTCGAACTGCTAGGTTGGCAGAAACTGGGCCTAATAGCAGGAGCTCAGCCTGCTCCCCGGATTTGAACTGCCAACATTTCGGTCAGCAAGTTCAGCAGGTCAGCGGTTTAACCCACTGTGCCACCATTATTCTCTATCTAATGTATAGAGAATAGCATTTATTTACCTTATGTTTAACAAAAATGGCGACAGCTGAAAGAACACTATTTTTAGGGCACATAGTATACCTTATGTATCTTATGCCAGCAGTTTAACTTTCTTTCTCTGGCTAATCTGTAACTATAGTGTCTTAAGCTTTACTCACAAGTTCCATTTTAAGTTGGAAAGCATCTGATCTCGAAAGTTTTATTGCATCTGTGTACATAGGCAAGATAAGATTTTTGTCTTGACTTGTACTTGTTAATAATTGAGAAGAAATGTCTTTTTGAGATATTGTGACAACCATAGCAGTTTATATTTGTCAGTTTTTCTTGGTGTACTTTTGTTAGTGCATGTCTTCTTACAAAATAACTAGAAATTAAATTCCTTTATTTAGCCCATCTGACATGATTAATCACAGTACAACAGTATGGACAACTATTGATAAATGTAAGTACATACATATAGTGTGGACAATTTTCTCACATCTGCGGAATAATGACAGGGAAAACTTTATGACCATCTCTGTGCCACAGAGGACAGGATTCCTATGATCTATGTCTGGCATTCTACAGGCATAGATCATAGGAATAAGAAGGAAGTAATACTTGCTTATGATTGTCCACAACTAATCCAGCTGCTCTTTTCAAAGTTATATATTCAGTTATATGCCAAATGATAAATTGACAGTTGTGTCAATCCTATTGATTACATAGATCTACTGTTTCAGGGCTAGCAATTGGATTAGGTTTTTAAACTATTATTATTGGGTCCAGTCTTTCCATAATAGCTTACAATATTTCCTTATATTTATTGTTAGAATCATAGATCTGGAGGGAGTCACAAGTGCCCACTAGTCCAACTCCTTGTCATATAGGAATACTTAACTAAATATCTGGAATGAAAACAGCATTCTATTATTTTACTTGTCTTAAAATCTAAGTCTAAAAAGGTGACAGTTGAGAAATCTGTGTTTTGTCTTTAGGGATTTATTTTTGTGCAGAATTATCTTATGTCCCTTTTTTCCTTTACAGGGAGGGAAATGAACCAGGCGATTCCATGAAGATCACATACAGTGAGCTGCTCAGTAAGGTCTGCCAGTTTGCCAATGTTCTTCAGGAACAAGGTATCTGATCCAACAGTGTCAATAAAGTATGTCAGGATTTGTTTGTGATGATAAGTGTGTGAAGCCCAATTTGTAACTGGTTTCTTTGCTGGGATAACAATACTTACTCCTGAGATATGATAATAAGATGTTCATGTTCTCTCAAAATCTTTCAGAAAATGAAATGTTACAGCATTTGTACAGCATGTGTATTTGTGATAGTCATTTGTACAAAACCAAAATGAAGATGTTTACTCAGTGCAGGCACATCCTGTCTTTTCTTCATTGCTTGCTCCAGGGCAGAGCTGGAATTTATCAATTTCATTGCTGGGCATCCATGTTCAATCTTTAATGAATTCTGATATTAAAGTTTATTCTTGCCTTTTGCTGTTTATGCATCATTTCTTCTGTTGGATTACCAGCGTATAGGGAAAATGGCTTAGTGGCATATAAACCTCTTCTTTCTCTTCCATAGGTGTGAAGAAAGGAGACAGAGTCTCTATCTACATGCCAATGATCATTGAGCTGGTGGTGGCCATGCTGGCATGTGCCAGAATTGGAGCAATTCATTCCATTGTGGTAAGAAGGAACAGTTAGTTTAATTCTAAGGAGTGTTCTTGTGTATCACAGTCCCTGATTGAAATGAACAGCAATTTTAGTATATGGTTTTTGAAAGAAGGTGGCTGCTTTCCTTGTGGCTCTGAATTGCTTTCTGGTTAAATTGCCATATAATCTGACTGTTGTGAGGATAAATGTTGGATTAGTTCCTCCCCCCCCCCTTTTTTTTTTTTTTTTGGAAATAACATTTGACTATAGATTACTAAAGTGATGTGTGAACTCCTTTGTACACTGATTTGTCAGTATCTGTATGTTTGCCATATCCCCCCATTAGCATTGGGAGGCTGGCGGGAACCACATATTGTAAGCATTAAAGGGCTCGCAGAACCACACATTGCAAGAGATGGTTAGTAGTTATGGCGAAACTGGCTTTCAGTGAAGCTTGTATGCAGTTATAATAAATAAATACATAAACAAACAAACAAATTTATTTATAGACCACCCTATCTCCCCAAAGGAACTCAGTGCAGTTTCCAACAAATATGGCAATCATTCAGTGGCAAAAGAAAAACCACATAGTTGCTGATTTTCTCACCGAGGAAGTCCTGATAATCTTCTAAAGAACTTTAAGGCACATTGGAAACATTTTTTGAAAAATCATTTTGACTACTCCATCGGAAAATTGCAATTTATTGATTTTGTCTCCATTCACATTTATGAGCATAATTCAGAATGCCACATGCTGAGTTTGTGGTGTTTTAGTTTGCAGGTTTCTCAGCAGAATCCCTTTGTGAGAGGATCCTTGATTCCCACTGCTCCCTTCTCATCACTGCAGGTAAAACAGCACTTCTGTATAAACTACAATACTTCACTCATCAAGGCAAGCGAATGGCAACTTTTTATATTCTTCCTCTTTTCAGAAAGAGGAAGGAGCAGCTACTAGACAGGACATAACATATGAGGGAATAAGTCACAATTTCCTGATACAACTATTATCAGTGACCTGTGATACATGAATGTAGCTATTCTTCTAATACTTTATTTGATGGCTTTGGTTACAGCAAGCTGTTAGAGAGTCATGAGGATGAAATTAAAGAATTAACTATTTCTTGCAACATTGCACTCTATATGTGTCTTACTAGAATGTATTTTCTATCTCTCATGGTAAAAGCCTTTGACCTGACATTTTCCCCATTTCTTAAGGTAAACAAAATCCCAAACTATTTATGATGAACTAAATCCCTTACGCAACTTTCCTTGATATTCATTTTAAGGCTTCAGTTCTATGCATACTAAATACAGAACTTTTCTCTGAGTAGACTTGCAAAGGATTGCATTGTTAGTGCTATGTTTCTCATGTGGCTTGCATCTTCATGTGGCTCTTGCTCCAAATAAATAGTGAAATCAATGTATTTCAACATCTTAGAACTCTACTGTTGGAATTGCATCTTCAGAATTTCGTAACACAACGAATCAAGATCTCCATACAATTCCCCAGCCAGTTGCTTCATAATGTTCTGTGAAGTTTCTAGGATGCTGTTATTAGACCTAAAACACTTACATTTTGTTTTGAGCATTCTTCAAGGATGCTTTTGAGAGTATTGCTTACTTTTAACTTTGACGCCTTCCCATTTCCAGAAGTGGTTTTACTGAATGCTGTTTGCTTTGTTGATACTGTTATTACTTCAATCAGTCTTTGATTTAGCAAATATTTTCCTTAATTTAATTCCATTGTTCGTAGTCCATTTACATTAAGTGAATTCCTCCTTTTTCTTTTTGTGACCTTCAAGTACTTGACAGGCTGATCTAGTGAACCAGTTCAACCATTCACTTGCTGTTTTGTAGATGCCTTTTATAGAGGTGATAAGCTGATTAACCTGAAGCAAATAGCAGACGATGCCTTGCAGAAATGTAGAGACAAGTAAGTTTAATCTCTCCAGGAAAGAAGGGGGTTCCCATTGGTATTTTTTTAATTTTGTGTAAGTTGAAATGTGCTATAATTGTGGTCTTAAAAATAAAACAACATTTCCAAAACAGAAGTGTACATACATAAACCTGGAGACAATGTGCAGTTTAGATCTGTTCCTTTTGAGAAATGCTTGTTTTTTTCCTCCTAAATAATCTAGTTTGGAACTTTATTTTTCACATTTTCTTTCTTTTCTGGTGAGGTGCTTTGAAAATGAAAATTGGTTGCTTCCCAAAGCCGCTGTTGATTTAAGATACCTGTTCCAATTGGGACCAGACTCAGAAGAAAATATTCAGCAATGGAATATTATGTTTTTCAGCATAACTTAACCTCTAGAGCAGGCATGGGCAAAATTCAGCCCTCCAGGTGTTTTGTGCATCAACTCTTACAATTCCTAACAGTATACCAGTTGCTAGGAATTGTGGGAGTTGAAATCTTAAAACACCCGGCGGGCTGAAGTTTGCCCATGCCTGCTCTAGTGCAATACTCTGTTTATCAGCTTTTTGTAGGGCTGGACAGCTGTGCTTCTTCATTTCCTGAACAAAGTAATCTAAGATCTATTTGCTTTATGTCCAGGCTTCAGTTCTCCTCTTCTTTTAGGGACCACCCTTTGCGAAGATGCATTGTGGTCAAGCATATAGGAAGAGAGGAACTGGTACAAGATGGGCCAAGCAGCAAGTCCCCACCACTAAAAAGACTCTGCCAGAGTGTGCAGGTAAGTTTCCTGTATTAAACATGCGAAGGAATCATTCCTGGAACACTTTCTCTGAGAGACAGAGAGCTAATTGTAGTTTTCTGATTCTTTGGAAAGAGGATATTTAGAAAATTAGCAATTCAAGACTAAGTCTTTATTATATTTAGAAAATCAAGTATCATTTCAATCATTCTGGGGGCATAGAGAAATGCCCCCTTTATGTGGCTGTTGAGAGTTTTATATGTAACATGTTTGGGTACCCACTAGCCAGCCATCAGTGACACTCCCTGGGTAGTTATTTTGATGTTACTGATGAGAGGAGACAAATAAGTTTTATGATTCTTATGTGGTCCTTTAACAAACAACATAAAAACAGAAAACTTGAATAAAATACTTTTAATATATTAAATACCAACAATATAGTCAAAGACAGCTGAACCTTAGTTGCATAGTTAGCAAATATACAACTGTAAATGCTATCAAGTGTTTTGTTTAATCCTGTTAGATCTCTGTGGAAGTAGCAGGATTTGTTTATATCTTTCCTTGAATCATGGGGCATAGTTCTCTCTTATGAGAGTAGCAAATTGTAGTAGAGTTGGATAGCCGCTTTGTCAGCATGTGTGATGAAACTGAAAAACAAGGTATTTTCCTCACTGTGCTCTGAAACTAGTACCTTGAGGGTTATTTCCAGAAAAGCACACAGAATGGAGATCGTATTTACTATTACTGTACTTAATTCATTTTCTTTACAAGATATACATTATTCTCTCCACATTTTAGGCACTGTTGTTCATTTTCCTTCATTTTCATTTTCCTTCATTTTCATTTTCCTTCATTTTCATTTGTAGGGCCCTCTTTTAGATCTGAGAAGGCCTGGACTTACTAGCTTGAATATAGCTCTGAGAATATTTTTCCTGTGTCCTGTTAAAATCTTCTAGAATGGCATTACGCTGTAAAGTCATGCTTTTTTTGACCATTCACTTTTCCCACTCTTGCTTGCACATGTGACAAATATCATATTGATATATTCTTATTTCCATTGTCATTATCTCATACCAATTAATAAGTATTTCCACTGCCCTTCTCAACTCTATGCTGCTTTATTCATATCAAGTGGTAACTTGTTTCCAATATTACCGTTGCAGGAGAATAAGGTTCATATATATAGAGAGAGGGGGCGGGGAGGGTTCTTGTTATGCCCTGGGATTTGGTTCCAGCCTCCGCCCTGGCTGTAGCTACTAAAATCAGTGGATGCTCAAGACCCATTAGTAAAATGGTGTATATAATGGCAAAATAAAGGTTTGAATTTTGGAGGGTTTTTTTCAAGCTATGTATACAGAATCTGTAGGTATGGAGAGCCAATTGTATGTACTTCCATTATTGTTTCCAGGAGCAAAGAGTTCCCTGAACCAAGCATCTTTATTGGAGGCTAGACATTGGAGGCTAGAAAGAATAATCACAGATTTTCCGATCCTCATGAATTTGGTCTGTGACTGCAAGATGGTTTGCACTTGGGGCCTTTCCCTCACAAAAAAGAACATGCAAAGAAGAACTATCTTTTTCTGTAAATATATATATATATCAATATGCAGAAAACAATGCATTTTATGCAAACAGATTTCTTGCAGAAAGGTTCTGATATAGTAAGTTATTAGAAATGACTTGTGCTTCCAGGCAAATATCAAATCAGCAAAGATTTACATTCCAACTAGAGATTATTCCTATGGAGATAACATGGTCACAATCCCATAAATCCAGGCAACCCTGTACTACTGACTATCACACACACACACAATCTGTCTGTCTAGTGTTAATAATGGTCAGAATAGAAGTGGAAGTTCTTGCTGTTTATTGTGGCCTAGTTCTCAGTTAATTAATATGTATGAGTCCACTGCTTGAGACTTCAAGAGCTGTATATATATTTGGTGTGTTTGTATGTGTCATATAATTAATCTTCTGTAAAAATAAAATTCACAAGACTGATTTCAGAGTGAAAAGCTTCATCAAAGCTTTCTCCTTAACAGGCTTAGGTTTCTATTAGTTCTATTAGTTTGAATTGGAAAAAAAAATCCCATCTTCATTTGTAGATTGAAGTGATGTGGTCTAGAGGCATTTTTTTTTGTTCAGACTTTAAAATTATAGTATTGTATTGTGATCTGGATGGAAATCCTCTTTATTTTTAACAAGTGGAGTGCAACCATTGCTTTCCATGTTTTCTAACATTTAAAGGCTTTCTGTGTGGTTGTTGCCCCCTGAAATTAGGGTTAACAGCTAGATGGAATGGATTCACATGATTGACTGCCTACCTAATGTGGCTTTTAAAATGCACCTTCATGAGATATAGCTACAGAAAAACTACCCCCATGATATAGCTATAAATTACACAGCCATATCCTTGTTGACATTTAGCTTCTTTAGATAAAGTTATCTGCCTTATATAATAGTTACCAGTGTCTTTCTTGTGCAGTAAGGCTGTAGAAAGGAATGTGGAAATCTGCGTTGGTATGTAAATAAATTGCCTTTTTGAAGTCACCCTATATTGGTGATACCTTTCCAGTCCTATTTCCCTGCCTCCTACAGCCTCTCCTGTGGAAGCTATTTATTCATTGGATTTCCCCCGTTTCTTCTTCCACAAATAGAGCTCAAGGCAGACGCCAGGATTTCTGAGTAACTCTTAAGACAGTGCAGTTTTTTTGTAAATAAGGATAAGAGAAGCTCTCTTGTCAGGCATGTAGCCGGGGGGGGGGGGGGGGCTTGAGGGGCTTCACCCCCCCCCTCCGAAATTCTCATGGTGGTTCGCGAAAAGGCCTTACTGGTGCATTATTTAAACTGTTATGTTTATTCATATCATGATCTGATCACCATACTCAATATATCCCATATGCATGGGGGTATTGGGGTAACAAAAGGTTTGCTAGGGTAGACCCTCTTTCACTCAGACTCAGCCCCCCCCCCCCCCCCGAATCAAAATCCTGGCTATGGGCCTACCTCTTGTTTTGTGTTTTTGCTTAAAAAACAGATTGTGCTCGCACAAGGATGAACAATTAGTGTTTTTCTTCCACATTTTCATTTATTATAAATGGTAGAGACATTTTCAGAGGGTACTCATTTCTTTGGAAATACAGAGGGAGAGCACCTATACGAAGTTTGCATTAACTAGAAATGGTCTCTCTGTGTGCATATGTCACCACACTGAGAGTCAGCATTGTATGTGGTATGATAAAGTATGTTTGCATACTACCTTCTATCATTCTACATCCGTATCAGTTCTTTGTATCATCAGTGTTCCATCATTACTTCATAAAGAATCTGGTAAGGAAGTGCAACTGAAAAATGGAAATGGGCTTCTGAAACAGATATTTTCAGCTTTATTACCACTAATAATGTTGGTACAGAGGATATACTAATGCAAACAAAGTGTAAGATAAAAACTATTTATTTATTTATTTATTTATTTCATTTACTTATACCCCGCCCTTCTCACCCCGGGGGGGACTCAGGGCGGCTTACAGTGGGGGCACAATTAGATGCCCAAGACAATTCACAAGCAACATAATACAACAATCAACAATTAATTAAAACAGCAGTACATATTAAAACAGTAAAAACAATCTCATGCTCAGGGTTTCAGAGTCACCATATTCATTCCATTTCATTAGTCCTTGCTTATCCACAGATCCGTAGCTATCAGCGACCAAAGGCTTGATCCCAGATCCAGGTCTTTAATTTTTTCCTAAATACCAGGAGGGAAGATGACGACCTGATCTCCCCGGGGAGTGAGTTCCATAGGTGGGGGGCCACCACTGAGAAGGCCCTGCTCCTCGTCCCCGCCAGCCTCACTTGTGACACTGGCGGGGTCGAGAGCAGGGCCTCCCCAGACGATCTTAAGCTTCGAGGTGGGACGTAGAGAGAGATCCGTTCGGACAAATACACTATACTTTGAATTAAAACACAGGATTCCTCTAAGTACATTCTTAACATTTTGTTATTGTAACACAGAGTCCTTTCCCATTCAGCGTCAGTTCTGGTTTCCCAATTGGGAGTTTGGGATCTTTGTAGATCTACCACAGATCATGCAAGATTTTCTAGTAGATTCACATATCCATCTGTTCATTTCTGTTCTAGGACTAGACCTCTGCTAGCTCTGTGTGTGCATTTTGTGTGGGTTAAGCGAAGTGCCTCAGACTTATTGAACAGGAACGTGATGGAAGAGCCAGTAAAGTTTTGTAAACAAATGGGGTTGCTACTTGATTAGGGAAGTGACAGCAACCTTTGTCCTTTTTTGATGCAATCTACAGTATGCAAAATAAATATCTCTGTTGGGACAAGGGTGTTTGATGGCTTTATAGCACCTCCACAAGTGTTGTTTTCTAGCCCTTTAGTTATGTGTTACCTTTTTTGTTTGTTCATGGCAGGGTCTTCTGTAAGACTCTCCATCCGGAAGCTGATTGGCAGAGTAATTTCTTAAAGCAAGAGGATGACCTGCATTCACACATGCAGGTGGCCCTGGTTTCTTTCCATGGGATGACAAAGCTCTGGAGTAGAGCCAGCTGAGAAGACTATTGTGGCCCTGAGACTTTATTTTGTATTTCAAAAGGAGAGCTTTTCTGCCATCCAGCAGCTGTCCCTGTCACTCGCTTTTCCTTGCCAGCATGGTATTAAATAATAGCCCAGTTCATTTTTTCTGCTTTTCAAACCTCATATCCTCTCTGTATGGATTTTTAACAGGAGAAAAAGACTGAGAGCTCAAAGAAAGCCCATCCGAAGGTATTTACTGTGTAGCAGAAGCTTTCTTTTAGCATTTCTCTGCTCTGCTTCCCCTTTCCAGCACTGCTGTCCTCTCCTCCTAGTCTGCTCTTTCTCTCTCACTGCACGGCGATGTGTGGCCTTTTAACTCCAGTACTTGCATGTTAGTCATAGACCTCACTGTCCCAAGTGGTGGAAGGGGAGTGTCATGCAACATGCCACCAACTCGGGTTTGTTGGAGTGGGACAGTGACTCTGTTGTAGTAGCACTAACAACTTTTAGTGTCTCTTGTATTTACCTAAAGTATCATTAGAATTTTCTCCACCAACACACAAAGGCAAACAAAAGAAGAAAAAGGAAAAGGCATGTGTCAGAGGAAATCTGGGCTTCTAAATAGAAATATTCCCTTAGGAAATGACTAGATCTGGAACTGCCAGCTGAGGCCTTGAAATTGTACAGCATGTTCACGCTCAATGGGTTGATGCACCTTTCATGGGTTTTGTTGTTGGATCCATGCCATCAATTGAAACAGCTTTGAGGACTCGTGGAGTGGCCACACTCATGCTTTTGTCCTAATAGTTGAGCCAATTTCTTTATTTCACAGGTATATAAATAACCATTTTTGTTTGTTTGTATGAATGGTCTGAAGTTTACATCTAGGCTTATTTATTTCACTCTTATTTACTAACAAACCATAATCAGATTAAAATAGTTGCCTCACTATTTCCTTTGCAATAAAGTTGTCTTAAAAGGTGATTTTTATGGAAATAGTAGTTTTGCCATCTGCTTTTTTATCCAAACTGATAGGAGCTATTGCTAAACACAATTAGTTTTTTACATTTGTTGATTATAGCTTCCAAATATAATTAATAACACATTCCAGAGTTCTTACAATTAAGTCTGAAATATACTTGTACTCTGTTTTGCATGTTCTGGAGATTTGTCTTGGTAGTCTGGCAGTTTTCTCCAAAAGTCCTCAACTCTTCAGTATCACTGTATTACAAATCTGATAGAGAACCAATTTCTGCTGCCAGAATATCTTTGGTATTCTCTCATCTCTACTGCTTCTTTCCAGCTGTCTTGTAAGCCATGACAGATAGACACAAAGCTGAGGTGAAGGTTGGCATTATAGAGTAAAGGAACAACTAAAGTTCCATGAAGAGGTAGACTTTATGGAACTTCATAGGGTGACAAAGAAGGGCTTCAACAGAAACTATTGTTGGTAAAGGTGGATCTGAAAGAAGTCCAAGAAGGTGGTTCTTCACAACAGCCAACTGGAACTGCAGAAGGAAACTGGGGCTTTGTAAAATGAAAGTGGTTTCCTCCTCAAGTAAAGGAGAACATGAAATAGGAGAAATACTGCGGTTGGTAGGGTTGCACAGCAAGATCAATGTCTGAGACCAAACAAGATTATACGTCCAGCACCACAGGTGCTCAGAGGGTGGTTCCAGACCAGCAGCATCAGCAAAAACAGATGAAGTGCCTCAGTGAGACAGCAGCCTTCTCAAATTGCATCATAAAGTTTTCTGCAAAGGAACAGCTATGGATCAAGAACCAGACTGGAAGGTTTCTGTTCCAGCATAATGTATTGGCAATAGTATCTTCAACAACTATCCCAGGTGGCTCCTCCATTTATGTTAAACCAAGTTGTTACTGTTGAAATAACATTGGTTCAGGAACTCATAAAGCCCTGTACTACTGAATGAACCCTATCATCTCCATCCAGTTGTCTAGAATGCAAAATAATGTGTGCCCTTTAGCCAAGATGTAGTAAACATTACACTTTTGCAGTCTTTTCCTCATGGGCCATGCATTTAAAACAACTTTGGTTTCTTTTCTATACTCCCATAGTGCTCCAATATCAGGTCCATAAATCAGCCTGAATAAGTTAATTAATTAATTAATTAATTGGGCCTTGCCTACCAATCTGTAATCAAGCAATTATTGTTGACAGAGATTGCCAAACATTTTCATGAAGAATGAAAAGCCTATAAATGAATAGCTAATATATTGATACAATATAGTGTAATGCAGGTGTGATATGAATGTAAACAATAGCAGTATTTGGTTATACCTGACAGCAATATCATGTTCCTAAAGAAGCATGTTCCTAATAGCAGGACTTAAGAATAAGATTCTTACATATTCATGCTGTATGTGTTTTAGTATTAATTACTATTCTGCATGAGTTGGGGTGTGTGTGTAGTATTTCTTGTTCTATAGTGTTATAATTCACTATAGTGTTGAATCAGTCAGTCACCCCCCCCCCCCCAAAAAAAAAAAAAAAAAGGAATGGTAAGGGATATTGTTTCCCTTTCAAAGAGATGACTTTGTGACCTCCTTTCTAAAGTTTTATGAGTGTTTGCACTGAACATTAAAGCTCATTTAAAGGTGGTAGGAAAATATGAGAGATATGTATGAGGATATCCTGTTCCTGATAGCAGGTAGTTTTGCACCTTGTACAAACTTTCCACACCATCTATTAAAGCAAGTCAGGTTTTGCTCTGTTGACTTGATGCTATCTGCTGTCAAGTCGACTTCGACTTATGGTACCTTATGGCAACTTTTTACCAGCAGCTTTGCTTAAGTCATTTTTCATCTATGCATTCTTAAATTCAACTAAAATCAAATGCATTTGTTTCCTTTCAGGAAGATTCCTTTGTTTCTTTCTTGTTTTTTTTTTAATTAATTCAGTTTATTAGAATCAGTTACACCCAAACTGGAGTTTGTGCTACTGCCTTATTTTTATTTTTATTATTTTTGGTATATAATAATCAGATGTAACCATGAATGAGACTGGAATACCATATACTAGGGCAGTGGTGACAGCCAGGGACTTTCACTTCCCCCGAATAAATCCAAGGAGCCCTGTCCTGAGCCTGCAGAGTAACTTTCTGTGTTCTTATGGAATCAAGAGAAGGCAATTTAGCCTTCAAATCTATACACTCTAAGTCAGTGGTTCTCAACCTGGGGTCCCCAGATGTTTTTGGCCTACAACTCCCAGAAATCTCAGCCAGTTTATCAGCTGTTAGGATTTCTGGGAATTGTAGGCCAAAAACATCTGGGGACCCCAGGTTGAGAACTAAAATGTGGGATGAATGCTGGAAGAAGTGAGGCTATATAGGTGCTTACTGGACTGTAGACAGGCCTTTAGCATTTTAGGCCAGAAGATTATCTTCATGGCCTAATACAGTCATCACAAATCTGGTTGATTTACATCATGTTGGCCTATTATTTGACCTGAGTGAAATGTAAAGCATAAGTGCTTGCTTTATACATTTAATTTACATAGGAAAGCATACAGATATGCATGTCTCTGCATGCAAGCACAAAAGCTTCTAGTGGTCTTGTTGTCCTGCCAGTTAGAGGGTGGTAGTTCTTCGACTAACTGAAAGTTGAACATTAGAGTTGTTTTAATATGTTGGCTAAGACTGAACTACAAAAACGGGGAAGTTCCTGCCTAGTTGATTTTTTTATATATTTTTTTGCTTTTATGCTTGCCCTTTACATTTAAAATCTTTAATTTGAATCCTCATGTGGTAGTCTCTGAGCCTCAGTGTATACATGTATTCATGCACACGCACACAAGTGTCCAATATGGACTGATAATAGTGTTCAACTATGTAGATTTTTTAAAATTTTACATATTTATATATCCTACTTTCTTACCATCGTTGTTCTCAGTATAGCTAATGTGAATGAAAACACCACAAGAAAATCAAAACAACTGACAATAAATGTTGTACAAGTCACTGTTGTTTGGATTACAATAAGACATTGTATGGCAGATGTATAGAAAGCACATGATGAAATGATATCATCTACATCTGATATCTTCAGCTGCTGATTGGTTTTGCCTTGCTAAAATGAGGAGCTGAAATGCATGCTGTCATTGTTGCATGTTTTTTTAGAAGCATTTGGTTTTCCAAAACTTTCTTGACTGCCATGTGGGCATGTCCTTAGATTTTCCTCGAATTTGTGTGCTTTGTAACTACAATATAATGGCAACAAATTGTAGCAAATTGGATGATGCTAGTGTTGGTAGAAGAAGCTGGGCTGGTGTTAGGGACACAACCCAAATGAACGAGACCTTTTATTAAAATCTGCTGAAGATTATTCTTGTAGCAGCCAATAAGGAGGAAAATTACGCTAAGAGGGGAAATGATATATGTATGGCTTTACTTCAGAAGACAAAATAGTCCACAGGTTCTGACAGGAGAGTCTTCGGCTAAGGATCAAGAGCTCTGGGACATTTATCCAGTTTCTCTGACATTAAATATTATGGTTTTTACTGTTTGATTTTCTTTAGGTACCTTGGGATCCAGAAGTTGATGTTTGGTGGCATGATGTTATTAAAAATACTAGCAAGGAGTGTGATCCTGTCTGGTGTGATGCAGAAGATGAATTATTTATTCTCTACACCAGTGGGTCAACTGGGAAACCCAAGGTAAATCGATTTCCCTTTGTTTGAGTGAACTGCAATGTGATTGGTTATCAAGTTATTTACTTACATTTCCTGCTTATTCTGCCAAGCTATTCATATATTTGGCCAATGCTGTAATGTTTGGGGAAATACATGGTGGTGGTATTTCTTCCCCCTCTGACATTTTCACAAAACAAAAAAACCACACCAAAACCCTAGTAGTTCAGTGGATTTCCTGTGTTCTGTGTTTCAGGGTGTTGTACATACAATAGGTGGATATATGATTTTCACTGCTGCTACCTTTAAATATGTGTTCGATTACCATCCAGAGGACATTTACTGGTGCACAGCTGACATTGGATGGATCACCGGCCATTCCTATCTCACATATGGGCCTTTGGCAAATGGAGCAACCAGTGTCTTAGTAAGTTCTGTGATGAAATGTTGTCATGTGCAAAATAGAACTAAAGAAATTTTTGTCATCTTCATACTTCAAGTCTGAATATCCCACAACATCTGTGTGATGTGCAATGAATGACCTCATTAATACGAAAGTAGCTAAAGTATTGATTGGAAATGAATGTGGTTCCCAAATCCACCTTTTGTATTATGGTTCAGTGCTAATTAGAACAAAGGAAAATGTCTTCTTGATCTAACAAATCAGCCTTCTCTTCTTTCTATTGCAGTTTTGTTAAGAAAGCATCTGGTCTAAGCACCATTGGTGGGCCATATGCGCATTGTAGGGTGGGGGGAAATATGCCATGTGCTAGACGTAGCAGTGGTGGGAACCTGTGTCAGTAACTATATCTTCTACACAGTTTGAAGGACTTCCCATTTACCCAGACGTTGGCCGTATGTGGAACATCATTGACAAATACAAGGTGACCAAGTTCTACACAGCACCCACTGCCATCCGACTCCTCATGAAGTATGGAGATGAGCCTGTTAAGAAGTAAGCATGGTTTTTGCAGCATGGAAATTCAGAGCTGGAACTGAACATGAAGTAAAACAAACCCTGTGCTCTTGTCAGGAAGAGTGGGTTTCTGGGAGAGGGAATGAAGCTTGGTGGGGACTCATTGCTTTCTTTGCATGTTAGTGGCTTCTGGAAAATGTCTGAATATGTTTTAGAGAGCTGCACTTATAGTTGTTTGTTCTTGACTGTGGCAATTGCAGTATGTTAGAAATTTATTGACTATAATTTGGCAATCTGAGCAGTGTATTGGACAGCCTGCCTCCTGGTTGTGTCATTTATAGTTAGAACATGACCTTATGATTTTTAAAAATTTTGCTTATACTGTAAATTCCCTCTATACCCATGTCTACTTTCTAGAAATTTTAGTCAAAAAAATCAACCCCAAAACCTGGGTCAACTTATCCATGGAGCATTTTGAGTTCGATTCTTACCTCTTATCAGTAACCACCTCCTTCTCATGGCAAAAAACAAGGGCTTAGTGCATCCGGGGAGAACCTTTAAAAAACCTCTCTTCCCATTTCTGGCCTTTTTGAATGCCTGGATGGGGAAAGGGTTGAAACCTCCATCTCTCAAGATGGCATTGGTGGTCTTCCCCCCTTGGTTGAATAATTTCCGAGTCATTCACAGGTTATATCAACATCCATAATTATGACCTCAAACCTGCCCTCAACTAGTACAAGAGATGGACTTATACATGAGTATATATGGTACACTGATCTTGGAAGACTATCCTACTCGGACAACGAGGGATCGCCTAAGTAAGATAGATGGTAGTGGTTAATTTTTCTTATGTTTTATTGTTAATACTTTGGATTGATATTTGTATGTGTCAAATCTTTGTGATCCCATCGTCCCTCCCACCTGCTTTCTGGATGTAGCTCACTGGAAGAGCATGCCATTTGAATGCAAATGCAAGAAGTTGTGTTCATTTCTCAGCATTTCTGGTAGCCAGTTTTGGATTGTGGAGAGCTTTTGGCTATACTGAGCTGTAATCAGAATCAATATATGACAGTACTCTTTGGTGACACATACATACTCTGGATTCCTGGAAATATCCTTATGTGTTTACCAATTATCTCTTGTGTTGTATAGCATTAGCTTTAAAAGGCATGAAGCTGGAGATCAGTTTTCTGTTTGGAGGTTCTCTCTTTTGAAATCCACTTTCCTTTTTGTGACAGATACAGCAGGAAGTCCTTGAAGGTGCTAGGAACAGTCGGGGAGCCCATAAACCCTGAAGCCTGGCTCTGGTACTACAAGGTGGTTGGTGAAGAGCGATGTCCTATCGTGGATACCTTCTGGCAGACAGAGACGGTGAGTTTTTTGCTACTTCTCTGCCTTCTGAATAAATTATTTGTGTGTGTGTGTACATGCTTCTGTATGTGCATGCATACGTGGCACATTTAAAACATGCTCTTCTCATTCTTCTCATTCTTTGGATGTTGAGCTTTCACCTACAAATTTGCTATAAGTGTTTTATTACACACGTTCTCTTACAAACTTGCTATGAGTGTGTTTTATTATGCAAGTGTTCTTCCTTGGCAATATATTCATGTCATCTAGCAGAACTGTGAATCTATTTTAAAAAAAATATAAAACAAAAGGTTTTTATATACATTTTATTATGTTGCCATGACTGCTTTCTGGTTCCCCCAAATGGCCAATTCAAATATTACATGTAGGACATTCTGAGAAAAAATTGTGAAAGGCAAAGTTTTTTCTCCTGAGTATCGTGCAAGACAGCGATCCATGGGACCCTTCATTTTCCCCACTTATTTTTTCGGACTGAGCCACCACACACATGGAGATTAATGAGATTAATGAGTAATCATTCAGTGGATAATCCATTCTACTGAAAAATCCTGAATTACATCTCTCGCTGTTAAAAGCAACTAGTAACTTAATTCCATGTTGCTACTGCTTAGCTTTACTGCCAAATGTGTGGCATTATTTATTTTTCAGCTCCTTTTTTGCTTATTCAACATGGTACATTGTGATAGAAATAATAATTTAAAGGAATAAAGCCTCATTGAAATCTCCATTACTTGAAGAGAGAGGGTCCTCTTGGAAATGGATGAAAAGGGAGCTTCCTCTCTGTTTTAATTTTCCCCTTCTGTTCTACAAGTGTTAATTAAAGCACCATATTTAAAGTAACAGATTTTCTGAATATAAGCAGCCCACTTAGCTCCTGTTGATTGTATTTTACATCCATTGATCATGCTGTCTCTTGCTATAAGTAGGTCAAAACAAAGAGCAATTTCTTTGGATAATTTGGGATTATTAATGCATGACAGAAGATGATGTTTTTTTAAATTAAAAAGATGTGCTCTCATCTGAAGTGTTAAATTCTTCTGCGTGCTTACATGAGAAGAACAGCATATAAAAGAGGAAAGCACTGAAAATCATTGGGGTGTCTCAGTTTGGTCCAGAGTCTGAATTACATTTTTGTTACAGAGATAAACCTTTTTTTCTTGTTAACTTTGCTAAGTAATGGGCTTTATGACAATCTAAAACCTCACTATGCCTTAGGTTTTGAACCTTTTCTTGTACATTTCTTTCTCAGCTTTAGTCTTATTTTCTTTTGTCAATCAATAAAGCTTACATTATTTCAGGACCTTAATTCATCCTATACATGGAAACAGAGCTCTTTGCTTAAGCTAGATGGTGAGAGCATTGCTGTTCTCTTTAGAGGAACATTTTAGTGTACTCATTGACTGCTTGGTTTACTCCTGCAGGGTGGCCATGTGTTGACTCCACTCCCTTTTGCCACACCAATGAAGCCAGGCTCAGCTGTAAGTACATTTCCTCCTTGTTCTCTCCTGTTTGTGCAGGTTTTCTTCCTGATGACTCAAGAACTGATTCTAGACTTTAGTTCTGCTAACATCTCACAAATAATCAGATAGCTATGAACAGCAGCATTGTTTGTGTTCTCTAAGGGAGGTTGAGGAACCTGTGGCCCTTTGGTTCCCATCAGCTCATAATGCCTAGTTTTCAAAGGGAGTGAGATTTCAATTCCAACAAAATCTGAAAGCCCACTGGAATATTTTTTTCTAAGGCAACATCAATTCAGAGCAATAGTGTCTAGACCAATGTTTCTCAACCTGTGGGTCCCCAGATGTTTTGGCCTTCAACTCCCAGAAATACTAATAGCTGGTAACTGGCTAGGATTTCTGGGAGTTGTAGGCCAAAATACCTGGAGACCCACAGGTAGAGAACCACTGGAGATGAAGAGAACTTTCCATCTTGAAATCCATCTTGAATGCCAATCAGAATCTTTAGACATAATTTGGGAGCTGTGGAAATTTCTTAGGTGAATATTTTGAGGGCTATGTTAATCTCTGGGCTTAAGTAACCATCAGTCATGGGGAGAATTTATTTTTCATTTTCCACCTACTCAAAATTCTCTTATAAATATTTCTTGGCAGACGTTTCCCTTCTTCGGAGTGGTCCCTGCAGTGCTGGATGAGTCTGGAGAGGAGCTGGAAGGAGAAGCCGAAGGTTACCTGGTAAGAAAAAGCCAAATCTCTTGCTGTATAAACCCAGGCAATAAAGTTTCATTGATCGCAAGAACCTCCTTTGGCAAAATCTGAGAACTGAAGATCTTGCTCTTAAGTGAGTTTCCCTGCTGCGAGACTTTGTTCTGCACTGCATAACATGTTCATACTTTGAGGATTAAGATGGAAGGTGATGTTTTGGACTAACTTGAAAAAATGCCTTACTATCAGTTACTGGAGACTGGCTTTGTTTGGCACAGCATTTCTAGAGAAGTAGCTCAATTACTCTTGCCAAAGGCAAAAGTCCAGCATGATACATATATTTTTCTTTTTACTGCAGCAGAATAAATATATTTTGTGTAGGGACTACTGTGTCAAGGATTATATTTGGAAAAGTACAGCAAAGGGATTCCCCCCACCGTCCAATCAAACAGTGAGCTTGTGGTGGGTGGCAACAAAAAGCAACAAATATCGGGATATCTAGTTACAGATGCTCCATATCACAGCTGATTTTGCTCAGTTTGGCACTATAGAGTTTGAGCCAGGCTCAGATCAGATCATATTTCATGAAAGCTTGGAGAAGTTGCTTATCTGGCGTACAACTCCCAGAATCTTCCACCCAGCATGATTGGTGGATTTTAAGCATTGTAGTCCAAAAAGTAACAATTGCATTCCAATTCCAAAAGGTAACAATTACATTTCTCATGGAGAGTGAAGAAGATTTGAAATATTTAATCAGAACAGATATTGCCTAAGATTTGCAAGTACCCCACTTTGAGTTACCTTTGGGAAGATAAAGTGGGGTATAAATAATAATAATAATAATAATAATAATAATAATAATAATAAGCAGCAGAAGCAGCAGTATAGAACCATAACTGGAGAATGGAGTAGTGCTCAGAATAAAGTCTCAGTGGCTATAAAAAAACACGTTGGGAAAGGTGACTGGGTTGCTTGGACACTCTCCAAGTTCTTGGTCTGATCACTACATTTCTGTTTATGAAAGATGATGCCATTTTGTCTGTTCATATTGCAGAGGGGAAAGCAAGTTGCATATGAAACCACTGGGCTATTCAGAGCTTTGGTTGTGGTTTCAGTGCAGTGATCTAGTATTACTGACTCCACTTCCTATTGACATAAGCCTTTCAGAAAATTTGACTCCAGTTTCTTTGTTGCTTTTCACTTGAGATCTCATTTAGAATGTTAGTTTAGTATATTTTTGTAAATGTAATTTTCCATTGTATTTAACTTTTACACTCATGACACAAATATTTGGGTTTTATTTTTTTTATATTCACATGTTTATGCATTCCCCCTTTTATTTTTTTATTGTATTGTGTCATGTCACTGTCAGCTGCCTTTAATCTCTATGGGGAGAAAGACAGGATGAAAATACTAATACTAATAATAATAATAATAATAATAATAATAATAATAGTTTTACTAGTACTTAACAAATAAACTAACATTTTATGTAACTATTCCCCCCCCCCCCCCCGAAAGTTAAAGGAGATATCTGATTGGAAGGAAAACTAAATAAAGCACAAATATCAGTTTAAATATTAGTAAAGTAAAGGTTTCCCCTGACATTAATGTCTGTCTCTGGGGGATGGTGCTCACCTCCATTTCTAAGCTGAAGAGCAGACGTCTGTAGACACCTCCAAGGTCATGTGGCCAGCATGACTGCAAGGAGTGCTGTTACCTTCCCGCAGAAGCGGTACTTATTGATCTACTCATATTTGCATGTTTTCGAACTGCTAGGTTGGCAGTTCGAAAACATGTGGGAGCTCACCCTGTTTCCTGGATTCGAGCCATCAGCCTAAATACTACATCGATACAAATTTAGCCTTTCCTAGGGAATTGTTTTTTTCTGAAAAATTTGTTAATATAAGACAATGGCACTATTGTCAGGACAATGACATCAAATTCTTTTATATTATTTAGATTATTAAGTAATTGGGGATGAAAGCCCCAATGACACTATGTAACAAAATTTGAAACATTTTCTGTTCCTGGTTTTAAAGTGTTATTCCTGTTTAATTGTGCAGTAGTTACTTTGAAAGTAGTTGTTATACTCCAGAAACTTTGTTTTTGTGGCTGCAACAAACTGTCGAATTGGTTGAGATTTGATGAGATATTTATTGAAAAACTATAGCAAAGGGTGCTGCAGGATGCCCTGCAAAAACTTTTTTGTATTTTAATAAACCTTTTTCATGTTTTTATAATAGAACCAATTAGGATATGACATTTCTAACCCAGGAACAAAATTGTGCTAAATAGTGTAATTGTTAACGTATTGCTTTTATTGTGCCTGACATCTGGTGACCATAAATATTTATGTTTCCTAGGGATATTTCCCTGAAAGGAAGCTAGTTATAGCTTTGATTTTTAGATTTGACTGGCATTGCTTCTCCATTTGACATGTGCCATATTTCTTCTCTGTGTTATTAATATTATAAAACAATATCTAAAAATGGGAAAAAACCTGGGGGGAAATATCAATGGAAAGCTTTTCACCACTCTACACTTTAAGCATTATAATATTTGGAAGTGTACTGAATTATCTTGGCCTCTGTAGAATTGTGCTGAGGCATTGCTCTCAGCGAAATTCCACAATGGTGGTACATATCCCGATTGTTTTTCAAGAAATTTCCACTTGACCTAATTACACTGACATGACCCAGTTAAGTTGTGAGATAGCAACTTGTCTAATCCAGCTTCTTACATTTGAACTTGAGTATTTCTGGCTGAAATAATTCGGTCCGTCAACTGCCTGATCTTGATGTAACTATCAGAGGTTTGCAGCCTTCCTCCTAAGAATAGTCAGAGGCAGTTCAGAATTTAACATCTGAGGCAGTTCAGTAAACAGGAGCAAGCAAGGCAATTCCAATGTCCATTCCAAGGGGTCTAAATACACAGAAGTTTACTGTAAGTCTAGGTCCAATATGCAAGGCGTAGTCCAGGGTTCAAAACACAGGTCTAATGTCCAAAAGTAGTCCAAGGTCCAAAGCACAAGTGCAATATCTATAAGCATATTCCCAAAAGTTTCAGGTCCAAGAGTATCCAGGATTCATGGCTGTAACACCAAACAATGATTGTCTCCAGCAGCCAACTATTTCAAACATCAGCCTTTTATGCAGCTCCTGATAAACCTTTGCAGCTGCTATTTTCTTCTTTCAGCCAGTTGAAGCTGAATGGCATGGCCAGGCAGGGCGAGCCAACACCTGTTCTTCCTTCTCCTTCTGATCCGGTTCAGGTGCTTCCTTTCCTGGAAAGGCCTGATCCTGCTCAGCCTTAGTAGCATCAGGGTGTTCCTCTTCCTGAGGCTCAGGTTCTGCTGCTGAGAGGAAACCCTCATCATCCTCATCTGGCCTCATAGTCCTGACAGTAACACCAGTAGAACTACCAGAAAGAAAATAATGACAGCCACGTAAGGTCTCAAGGGTTCTGTTAGAGTTTGGAAGCAATCCACAGCAACGATGCAATGCAAAATATTCAAAACATTGTGTGTGTTTCTGCTTGGCCCTGTGTGTAATACATTGTCATATCTGTTCTCTCCTTTAGGTTTTTAAGCAACCTTGGCCAGGAATAATGCGCACAGTGTACAGAAACCACCAGCGGTTCGAAACCACTTACTTCAAAAAGTTCCCTGGTTACTATGTGACAGGAGATGGTAAAACTCCACATGATATTCTTGACATAGAGATGTATTGTTATCTTATAACTGTTTTTCACTGTTTTTTCAATTATGATAGTTTAAATAATGTTCAGCATCTAATGGTTGCCTGTTGTAAAGCTGCCCTGAGTCCCCCCTCAGGGGTGAGAAGGACAGGGTACAAATGCGCCAAATAAATAAATAAATAAATAAATAAATAAATAAATAAATAAATAATAGAGGTGGTAAATTCAGGATATAAATATATATGTCATTAGTGGTGTAACCCATTTCCATTTTGTGTCTTGAGATAGCCCTTACATTTGTGTTCTCTTTCTAACGTAACCTTGTTTTTACATATGCATTGGCTGGATAGATTGATTTTTGGTATTTGTAAGAAGCTCATTTCGTAATTGAGCCAGTACAGTGTGTTCATTGGACTGCAGCCCTAGAGAACAGGGTTCGCATCCCCATTTGCCCATTGAAACCCATTGAATGTTCTTGAGCAAGTCACATTCCCTCAGTCTCAGAGGAAGGCAAAGGTAACCCTCCTCTGAACAACTATTTCCAAGAAAACCCTGTGATAGGGTCACTTTAGGGTTGTCATAAGCCATAAATGACTTGAAGGGACAGATCAACAAGAATTTTGTAATCCTGGGATCACTGCTGGAATATTGAGAACAAAGGGGTTTTTTGTTTGTTTTTTGTCGTGTCAGGAACAAAGGTTAAAATGTACAGTTCCTATCCTATTTTTCCTGTAATGATAGCTGTGGGAATACTATAAAGAGTAAGTGGCTAGTCTCCCTCTGGATTCCTTGAAACTCAAGCAGTTTCTGGTATTTGTTCTACATATTGGAGGCCAGCCATGAAATGTGAAATCTGAAGGGGAGAAGCTCTGAGCTGATAACATTGTATAGCTTTTGCCCCGTTTTTTAACTATTCATACATCTCCTCTATATTCAGAATTAGAGTGCAAGGCTTCTGGGTGGCAAATCATGGCATGCAGATAATTTCTGTGGCACATCCCATTTAATATATTTGCTCCAGATTTTTTGAATAGTGTCCTCATGAAAGATGCATTTCAGTTTTTTAAAAAATATTATTCTTTCTGCTAATTTAGTTTCTTTTTTTTATGTTTACTGCATTTTGAGCAGGTTTCATGCATGTTTCTTATCCACCTTCTGCACCCCTATTTTGGTAGAATTCCAAAATCCAGGTATATCTTTTTCTAATGATTTCCTTAAATGACAGATTTGTTGGATTTCTTCCAGGCTGCAAGAGAGATAAAGATGGTTATTACTGGATCACAGGTCGAATTGATGACATGCTGAATGTTTCTGGTAAGAGGAAAGGCTTTTGGGAACAAGAATATGTAGTTCCCTGAAATATTTTCTTTATATTACACAATATAGTAGCAATTTTATACCAAGTCTTGATTAGTTATATGAAATGTTTCCTCCACACTGTTTGGATCTATGCCTAGCTATTGTTGAAGTATGTAAATTAGGGCAAATGGGAAGACATCTAGTAGCCAAGTAGTGATAAAGATCCAGCCAACATAAAGCAAAGTTGACCCAGTGTTTGTGACTGGACAGGCTTATTGTGTGCTAAAGAAAATTTAAGTAATGTTTAGGATTCCAAGACTAGGTTTCATGCATCTAGTGGACAAACAGTGAGAGATTTAGAGGATATGTTGTCAAAGGTTTCATGGCCAGACTCACTGGGTTGCTGTGAGTTTTCTGGGCTGTATGGCCATGTTCCAAAAGCATTCTCTCCTTTGGTCTCCATCTATGGCAGGCATCCTCAGAGGTTGTGAGGTCTGTTGGAAACTAGGCAAGTGGGGGTTATATATCTGTGGAATGTCCAGGGTGGGAGAAAGAACTCTTATCTGTTTGAGGCAAGTATGAATGTTGCAATTGATCACCTTGATTATCATTGAATAGCCTTGCAGCTTTAAAGATTGGCTGCTTCCTGCCTGCAAGAATCAGCCAGGGCCAGCTAATCACCTCACAACAAAGGATTCTCAGTTAAGAGGATTTTTTAAAATATCTAGATGCATCCAATATAGAGTCAGAAAAAAATTAATTTGTAAAATGTAATTTATTATATCCTATAATAATAGGTTTTGGTGGCTTGGTGTCAGATTGCCCTGCTGTAGGATCACTTTGATCATTCTGACAGACTACCAGCTGTTAGAAATTGAGAGAGTTGAAGTCCAAAACACCTGGAGGGGTGAAGTTTACCCATCCCTGTCCTATTGCATATGAAAAGTTGTCGGTTGGTTCCCCCCTCCCCTCGGCTGCCTTTATTTGCATTCATTTTATGCAGAAATGAAATGAAGAAACTACTGGAGGATGAGAGGGTGCAAAAATATTTTCATGATGACAGAAAAATTATGTATATAAAGGGAGTCATTTCAAGATGTGCTATGGTTCCCCCTGCTTGCAGGGCACTTGCTGAGCACGGCGGAGGTGGAGTCTGCCTTGGTGGAGCACTCCGCTATCTCGGAGGCAGCCGTGGTGAGCCACCCACATCCAGTGAAGGGAGAGTGCCTGTATTGTTTTGTAACACTAAGGGATGGTCATGATTTCACAAAGACTTTGATGGATGAGCTGAAGAAACAAGGTAAGGCTGGTAGACCTTCTCATGCTGCTTGAGAGATACACTGAAAGCATTGCATTAAAAATGAGGCCAAAGCTTTAGAAAATTTATGGATAGAGGGACAGTGGGATGCCACATGTGGCACATAGGAAGCAGAACCATACCTGTTTGTGCTTTTAGGCAATTGTTACTGAGTCTGATGATGTCAGCTCTATGCCTTTGCTGTCTCAAAACAAACAAAAAACACAACAATAAGGAGCCCCAGCAGGACTGAAGACCAACAGGTCAGAGGTTTGAATCCGGGGGGAGTGGATTCGCTCCCTCTGTCAGCTCCAGCTCCCCATGCGGGGACATATGAGAAGTCTCCCACAAAGATGGTAGAACATCAAAACATCCGGGTGTCCCCTAGACAATGTCCTTGCAGATGGCCAATTCTCTCACACCAGAAGCGACTTGCAGTTTCTCAAGTTGCTCCTGACACTAAAAAAAAGTTATTGTCTGAAGTGACAGTTTCCAATATGTTTAAGCTTCTTCAGGTCAAGCCACTCCGAGTCCCCATTGGGGAGATGGTGGCGGGGTATAAATAAAGTTTATTATTATTATTATTATTATTATTATTTCACACACATTGATCCCATTGCTCTAAAGATCCTGTCTGTTACGCTTTTTGTGGTCTTTTTCCTCATTGGCCAAGTAACTTGGGTGTCAAGTTGTCCTCAAAACAAATCTATAGCTCATCTTGTTTATTATCAGGTGCCTTGTCAGTTTGATAGGCTGTATCAGCCCCTGGCTTGGCAGTTAGCTTCAGCTAACAGTTTTTAAAAGCTGCTCAGGTCCCCATTTGCAATTGTGTTAACTCTCCATAGCAAACTACATATTACGTAACAGACATGCAGTAATATGTAGCATGAATAGATAGAACATGACACATCCTAAAGCTTCTCCACAGATTCCCAACAAAGAGCTTTCCTGTCATTTGCTACCTGATCCTTCTTACGCTTGAGTTTTTGGGCATTGCATCTGGGACTGCTTATAATGGTGAGAGTGTGCACTGAACTATGCTCGCTGCACATTTCATATTGTATCACCTTGTAGAACAAAATTACTTAGAGAAGAGACAGTTTATCTGCATTCCGGTGACTATCTTGGCTTTGCTTTTCAGATTGTTTGGCAGGCAGTTTTCAGATAAAAGGGTCATAACTAACGTTCCCTGCACCTAAATTTAACTCCGCTGGCCTTGTTGCTCCCATGCCATGTTGTCTGTGCCAGCTGGCACACAGTTTGGACACGCAGGGGCAGGCTGCATGTCTCGTGAAAGGACGTGGATTCTGCAAATGAAATGCATGTACAGCAGCCATCCAGCACTGATTGACAGCAATGTTGTTGGAGAAAAGAGTGGGTTGGCATTGCTTGTTAGATCTCAAATTGTTGGTCCTTGGTTGAGCAACATAAAAGAAATTGGATGGGCTTATTTTTAGTAGACAGAAGAGGCGTTTGTCAGAACTTTTGATTAGGATAGGAAGTTTTTGGTCTTAGCAAAATAAACACAACAGAAGTGTTAACCCTTCCCTATGCTATCCAAAGCTACACCTATCTTGTTTGCAACCTGGGAACTATCCAGCATTTTTTCACAGAACATTTAATGCCACAGGCAGAAATAATGTTGAAATAATAATAATCTTGAATGTGCTGCCCACTTTAAGAGTAACATTTTTGAGCCTCTGATGTGAAATGTTTTAAATCATATAATTCTTGAAAAATGATTAACATTTTGTATTTTACCATTTTCATTTTAGTATATTTAAAATACTAAAATGTCTGTTTTTAAAATTGTACACAGGCTTCAAAAAACTATTAAATGTAGGAAGAGCTGCAAAAATAGAAATAATAAGTTACAGCAATCAGTACTGGCTCCTTCCTTTAGGTGAATGGGAGCATTTTGGTTACACAAGCTCTACATTTCAGATACTATGCATGACAACATGATACTCAAGTCGAAAGGTTTCTTTGTCTGACCTGTATTCTTCATCCTCCAGTGGTGTTTGCTATGCTGTGGATAAGTGACTAAAATAATTTCTTAGTGGGATATTAGTACTGAGTTACTGTTGCCTGCTGAGAGTATATATACGCAGAACAATTATAGCAGTTTGATAGCACTTCAGCTGCTGTGATTCTCCTCTAGGAATCCTGAGGTTTGTGGTTTTGTGGAGTACTTCGAATTGTCTAGTCTTTCCCTGAAGTACAGCATTGGTGATTTTTTTTTTCCATGAACCTACTAATCCCTGAATTTCTTAGGATGGATCCAGGGCAGATAAAATGGCTCAATTGTGCTCTAATTATGTAGTATGGGCATATCTTGAGTCAGAGAGAGACAAGAATGTATCAAAGTTTTTTGAAGCCACTTCCCAATTGAATTGTTTGCTGGAACTAAAATAATTCTTCTCTCACTTGCAGTTAGAGAAAAAATTGGACCTATTGCAACTCCAGATTATATTCAGAATGCTCCTGGACTGCCCAAAACCCGCTCAGGTACACTTTAATTTAATTTCAGGAAACCTATCTCCTTGTACAGCGAATATCATTTGTCTTATATCAAGGTTGTTTCTACCATATTTACTGTTACTATTAAATTTCCATTCTCTTCTTCCTTCTTGAAAGTAAGTAGTCTAAGAATGTGGACATCTAGTAAACAACATATCACTTATGCTCTGTAGACCATATGCCAACATAGACTTATAAAAAAAATAATAAACCTTTCTGTTTCCAGTTATGTTGGCCACATTTGCAGTATCCTATCTGTGTAAAATCATAGAGTTGGAAGAGACCACAAGGGCCATCCAGTTCAACCCCCTGCCATGTAGGAAACTACAGTCAAAGCACTCCTGATAGATGGCTATCTAGCCTCTGATTAAAATCCTCCAGAGAAGGAGACTTCACTAGTGAAAGAACTAGACAAGCAAGAATTAATCTTTAAGTTAGAATTTCTCATATCTTAGGGATCCAGAATCTTGCAGCACATATTCTTTGTGAATCTAGTTCATATAGTGAAGAGTATTAAGTTTCCCCTTTCCTCAAATCCTGTCTGTACGTGTACCTTTGAGTCACCTCTCAATTTGTGGCAACCATATGCATTTCATAAGTTTTTTCTTAGGAAAGGAATGTTCAAATGTAGTTTTGCCAGTCCCTTCCTCTGAAATAGGGCCTACAGCACTATCACTAGTCTCTCATTCAAGTTCTAACTTGGATCTAGTGCCCTTAGATATTTAGACCATGAACTACCTGAGTACTCCCATCTTGGCTTGCTTTATCATGACCAATATGGTATTTGCTGAAACTTTATCATTTCTTTGCAGGTAAAATTATGCGGCGAGTATTAAGAAAGATAGCAAAAAATGACCGGGACCTGGGAGATACCTCAACTGTGGCAGACCCAGCTGTTATAAACCACCTTTTCAGCAACAGATGTGAGACAATAATGTAGCTGGACTATCCTGAAAAACAACAGCAGCAGTGCAAGAACTGGAGAGAAGATGGTCCCATCCAGACAAAGACTGATTGTCCCTTGAGAGGAGAACTGCCCTTTGCTGAGCTGAATGTAAAAAATGCTGTTGATGAAGAGAAGAAACTGGTGCTCCGAGATCCAGTCCTCTTGTGTTGTAGATATAGCTGTCTGTGCCTCTGGAAAAACGTGTACATTATGTTGTAGACCGATTCTGCGTATTTGAAATTCCAGCCTCATTCGGTTTATACAGAATGAAAACATTTTATTTTTCATGAGTTTGTTTCATGGATTTTCTATTTTATTTTTATTTTTTTCCAATGTACGACAATGGTTAGCATTTATAATACATAGGTAGTGGCTTCTGAGCAGTCATTACAAGCCTTCAAAAGGTTTTGAAAATGAGCAGACTGAGCAGTAATCCTCATGTTGAGGTAGAATTATTGAAATACATCTTTTTAACAATCCAGCATTCATCATATATATTTAAGTCTGCATATTATTTTGGCTTTGTATTATGGGAAATGGGAAAGTTTTTTAGGGAAATGGGCAGCTCCACTTATATACAGTTACTTTTCCATGTCATCTGTACTGCACGTTAGGCTTGAAATTGCTGTTAGTGGTGATAATTTACATCCTAAAAAGGAGTAATTGTACCCATGTATTTCAGCTGTCTTAACATGTCCGTGTATGTACATGATTCACAGCTAAATTGTCATGTACATGATTCTCTAGAGAAAAAACTGTGATCGGTGCCCAGATATTCCAGAGGGAGGTTTTTAATTTGCTCTGCTGGCTTACTGCAATGCCAATATCTTAAATTTAGGTAGGGAGAGGGTTTCTTTTGATATGTTCAATGGTTGAAAAGTGAGTGCTATCGATAATAAAGGAAAGTGGCACCCAACTATTAAGTTAACTCAATTCTTTAATCATATTTGTCACATAAAATAAATGCTCTGGGTGATTCCCATCTTTGGTTGTGGTGGCCAGAAAAAGTGTGGCTTCCATAGGGAAAATGGCTTTTCGTTATATATTTAATTGACTTGTGTTGTTTTTTCCATCTAATCATGGACATCTGTGTGACCAAAAATGAACTATGGCTCTTATGGAGGGTAAAAAATAATGTGACTGGCCTACAGACTATTGTGCTGAGGTCTTTTCTCACATTCAGATGAATTCATTGTTCATAACTGAAGTGATTGTAACTAAATAAATTCAACTGTTTCAAGGCATTCTTCACTGCAGCAGCAAAGGATCAGATGTAGGTGGACATCATGTTGGGTATCTAATAGTGGGGAAACTTTCGAACATGTTTGGATTCCACAACCAAATAAAAATAAACATTTTTCTCAATTCTAGTACATTTTTTTCAGGGCTGCTGGCCTGGAAATGTTTCTCTGTACATTTTGTATTAAAATCAACTTATCTTTGTCATTACCAACATTTTTTGAAAATGGGTACTATATTTGGCATTAGTGTCCATGCTGTGGTGTCCCAAGATACCTTTGTCCATATGACTGTTTGTGAATTGGGAATATTTAAAAGTAATGCCCCTTAGACCATATCTTTGGCATTGTCTCAAGGCTAAACATCTCTCATTTCTTACGTGCTGTTAGAATTTGAAATGCACTTGTGTGTGGTCTGCAACATTGGTGTATATTTAACCTAACGTCCTACAGCATTACACGTAGGCCGGTGGCTTGCTATGTGCTGTTAACAGGAAATCCTACTTTTAATTTTGGTCTGACATAATATTGGTTCAGAAATGGCTAGAAATCTGTTTTTAATTGAAACAAATCAAAGAAATAAAACCTATAAACCAACACCAGTGGACTGCATTGTTTTTCTGTTTCCAATCTGGTTTTCATTTTCAAATGCATACTTTGAATTGTATGTTCTGGCACATGCTTCTTTTATTGCCTCCAGCTAGAGTATTGAGTCAATTGTGGTAAGGATAGAAATGTTGACTTGCCATTCAGCAGCCGGTCTACTCTGAGTAGATTTACATTAAACAATTTAACTGGATGACTTCCCAGTAAGATTTGCTTTGGAGTCCTTATTCAAATTCAGAACTACATATAATAGTGATCGCTAGACAGTAAAGCCCCTCTAGATTGAAATTTTTCATTTACCCCCAAAGCCAGTGGTTCTTCAACTCTCAGAAATCCCAGCAGCTGGTAAACTGGCTGGGATTTTTGAGAGTTTGTAGGCCAAAGCACCTGGGGGCCCACAGGTTGAGAACCACTGCCCTAAGCTATGATCAACTTAATTCATGTACTCTGTGGCTAAAACCTGCCAGGGAACTAGAGCCTATGCTCATATCGATAAAAACTATATGAAATATATTGACTTTACACTTGCCCTGCAAAATGTAACTTCTGAATGGGAGACAGGAGTATTCTTGGACTGCATTTCTGTTAAGTCAACGTTTCAGATTTCTAATTATTCCTTTTTAATAGTCATTATTGTCTAGCTTTAGAACTCTATTTCAATAGCTCATGAAATTAAGCTATCTGTGACTATCTGCTTTAGGTATAATATACAGGCATGTGGAAGAACATAAGTTGCTACATATAAATTTCATAAAATACTCTGCAGGTTGAGTACCAGTACAGGACTTAGTGTACATATATGTATGTACAGTGAGCCTTTGGTACTTCCTGAGATTTGGGCCCAGGACTCCCATGGACATCAAAATCCATGCTCAAGTCCCATCAAGGTTTGCTTTTGGGATTTCTAAAAAACCTACATTATTTCAAGCTCTGGATGGTTCAATCCATAGAGGCAAAATCTGTAGAGGCTAACTGTGTGTTAAATATTAATCAGTTTGTTTTTACAAACTTTTGGAGTCATTTTCTTTGCAATCTGCTACTGCAGTTTTTCAGACAAAGGTGACACAAGACTAGAGTAGACAGGAAGAAAAACGAATAAGCACTAAGGTTTTATTTAAGAAAGGAATTTACTTAGAAAATTCATTTAGGCTACTGGAGAAAAATGCGTTGTTATACCATGTTGGTCCCTAATACTGTACTCTTAAGTCAAATTAATTTTCTAAACCTCTCCTCTAAAGTACGGCATCAAGTTGGAACTGTTATTTTTACAAGAAATGACGTGGTTAAGAAAAAATATCAATGTGTAAAGACAAGCTGCTATTTAAAAAGACTGATGCCAACCAAGATATATGAACTTGATCTTTTTAAATAAATGTAATTGCAATATGGCAAGCTGCTGTTTCAAAACTGAATTTGAAAAAAAAGTTCCCAATTCTTAAAATGGCACATGGCTTAGTGCGATAGATGAGTACATTCTAATCTTCAATTCAGCTAAACAAATATCTGAAATTCCATCATCTGCTGTTTCAATCTGTTTGACATCAGCATTGATTAGGGTTTTAAAGAATATGTGCATGTTGAAGACATATCCTTTTCAAACATGCACTCTCTGTTTGCAAATACAGTAGAGTCTTGCTTATCCAACATAAACGGGCTGACAGAACACTGGATAAGTAAAAACGCTGGATAACTAGGGGGAATTAAGGAAAAGACCATTAAATGTCAAATTAAGTTATGATTTTACAAATTAAGCACCAAAACATCATTTTTTTACAACAAATCAACAGAAAAAGCAGTTCAGTGCACAGTACAGTTATGTAGTAATTACTGTATGTATGAATTTAGCACTAAAACATTGCAATGTACTGAAACAGGTGTGGATCCGGGCAAGAGGCAGACTGTGTTGGATAATACAGAACGTTGGGTGAGTAAAGGTTGGATAAGTGAGACTCTACTGTATACTATTTCAGTTTCCTTCGTCAAAGCAGTAGTGAAACTCTTCTCTCACACATTCATCAAATGCAACATAACACAATTACTTATTTAAGTTCAAGATAAAGGTGAAGTAATTCTGTCCCTTTATCATTTAGTAGTGTGTGGTAATCATTCCACATGTGGCCACAATCATTCCTTTGAATGTAATACCCTGCACAATTATTGTAGGGTGCTGTATCATTGTGGACAAGTATACAACAAAAAATAGTATTGAAAGAACAGACATCCAGAATGAATTATCTTCCAGTGTTTCTGAAGCAGGATCGAAATACTCTTTGAAAATATAGAGAACAAATTATCATGGTAATATAATCTACTACAAGGCACTTAATGATGCATTTTCTGTGATACTATAGGGAAAGTTTTATCAGAGTGTTAACACATCTAAGATGGCAGAACAGTAAAAGTGCACAAGGTCCAGAAGAAGTGTGTTGGATGAAAGGGTGCATCAAGCAGGAAGAAGTTTTCAGGGAAGGTCTGCTGGAATTCAATATTCTCTGAGATCAAGAGGCAGCAGTTACTTTAAAAATAAATCAGTGCAGCTCTGCTACTTTGTATCTTGGGATCACATATAGGAGGAGGGCTTTGAATATAAATCTGATCATTGCTGCCCTTTGGCAATCATGGCCTAAAAGGCAGAAAAATCAATCTCAAGTAGTGATGTTACTGAGGTATTGTTTTCATATCACGTAGGGAGTATCTAGAACTGCTACTCCGGCTGCTACTCCACCATCCGCATGTTCTACTGCTTTTGTTCGCAACAGATGGCCCACGTGCTTGTTCATCACAAGATCCTGACCTTGTCTGCAAGAGAAAACGAAGAGTTGACCTGCGGTTCTCTATTAGAATCACAAAGTTGGAATATTGAAAAATCCAGACAAAATGGTATAGAATTCCTGTGCAATTGGCTCACGTCCCCAAAACAATGTTGGCAGAACTGCAGGAAAATCAGAACATACACCCACATGTGGTGGGATTGTGAAAAAATACAAAATTTCCATAAAACAATTAAGAAGAAAATGAAGGAACTATTAGTGATAAAAATAGATTGAATAAGACACAATTTTTCCTCCAAAAAAATTGAGGGTGAAGGGGGATATAAAGAATGGGAGGGAATAATAAATTACATGTTAGTTGCCTTAGGCTGGAAGAACCAAAAAAAAAAGGGACACAAAAACATGGTATAAATATTTAGCAGACTACCACCTCCAAGACTATATCAGCAAGATGAAAAGTTACTACAGGAAGGGCCAAATCAGAAAGTCATGAGAGGCAAAATGGAAAGGTTTAATTTATAGAATAAAGGGGGAAGATACAAGGAATTAAACAAGATTATCCTCAGGATCAAACAATCATAATAAGTACAGCAAAATTCATAAACTGTTCCTGGGGAGGGGAGGGAGGGAGAAAAAAAGAAAGAAAGAGGAAAAATGATGTATTTTGAATGTTTGTATAATTATGTGTAACACTATACACAATAATTTTGAAAATTAAAACAGCAACAAAAACAAAAAAAGTTGGAGCACCACTGGTTCAATCCCCTGCCAATCAAAAGCACTCCTGTCGTAATACTTTGGGTCAGGCCTGCACAACCTGTGGCACTGCAGGTGTTTTAGACACAACCTGAGTTCTGGCCCATTTCTCCTACAACTCCAGAATGCTTCTTAAATACAGACAACTGATTCTGCTGGATCACCGAAGAGTTCTGTTTATTCCTTAAACTGCAATAACTACATAGTGTAGAATTTATCTAAACTGTTATTAGCACTGAACGGCCCTTTGAAATACTGCACGTAAATTTGCCATGTAACCTCTCTTCCCAGCACCGCTCCCATGAGCAAAGGTAAATTAAAACGAGTTTCTTACCTGACGTAGACTCCAAAAATTCCTAATTCAGATACACATTCTGATATTTTCAATTGACTGTGAGCCCTCAATAAGTAATTCATTGCAGGAAGAGGTTTTATCTTGTCCATAAGAATGTAGGAGGTCCTCTCAGGACTGTCCTTAATCTTCTCCAAAACTTGCTTCAGTTCATCACCGTAGAGATTGTTTCCTGATAACACAGCAATAGTTTGAATATGTCAAAAGCAGGTGATAAATAAAGATGCGTGTCAGACCCCTGAAGCCAAGCCCAGAAAGTAAAGGACATGAAGAAAAGGCAACTGCTTGCTGGCAATATTGTAGACACTCAGAAAAGCCACTTACTCTGAGGATACAGACAGGTTTTCCTATGAGAAGTAGTATTACCTTGAGCTTTCCCAGCCATAAAACATTTCAGGTATTTCTTAGCTATGGGTCTATGATCACATTTGGTCTAATTCTGTATTTCTGCTCCAAGTGGAAATACAATCACTAATATTGAGTATTCAAATAATGAAATTTGCACAACTGCTCATTTATGTTCAGTGTATTTATTGTAGTTGGGACTAGCAAATAAATCCTAGAATTTTATGGAAATCCCTGCTCATGAGACATTTATTGAAACAAAGTCAAATTAAGGAGGAATAGGAAAAGATGGCACACTGAGTGACAGCTAGGCTTTCCTTACCAAACAGAATACATCAACAGTTCCTTATTGTTGCTATACTAGGCATTTTTTTGCCTGGATTCCTGCAGCACTGAGGAGAAATTATCATGGAAACAGCTTTTTTTTTTCACTCTTAGATCTTCCTTTGATGAATGTTCTAAAGCAACCATGAATGACATTTATTGTAATAAAAAGACCCTTCCATCCATCATTTATGAGGGAAAATGTGTCTGATAACATAAGAGTTATCTAGAGTATCAGAGTTAAGGAGACCAGTAACTAGCCTTGTTACGCTGAAAAATAATATACATCAGAGCTTAACAACAATGCTAGCGAAAGCTTAAAACAAGTCTTTAATAAAGTGCTACCATATTAAGGACAGGACATTATATGTCACAAGCAAATAGGTTATAAAAATAGACTTGCTTTGTTTCTTTTAATTAAAAGCCTGACTCATGTTATGTTTGTTGTTGTGTACCTTCCTGTCATGTCCAAAAGGTTGTTTTTTTTTTTTTTTGGCATAATTTGTTCAGAGGGGATTTGCCTTTGCCACCCTCTCAGGCTGAGTGAATGTGACCCAGTGAAGATGGCATAAAGATTTGAAACCAGGCCTTCAATGATATAGTCCAACCCACACTCCACTACAGAATCATAGAACTGCCCTGATATAGTTCTTTTGGATTTATGTTAGATAAAGAAGACCAGTTACCTCCTCCTTCCCTTTGTGGTTTTAATACAAACTGATCTGGGTCTGCAATAGCCATGGCAACCATCTTATCACCTTCTTCATCCTGTAGGAAAAAAGGGAGGACATGGTATGACATTTGTGACCTCCATCATATGAAATTGTCAGCTTTATTTATATGAAAGTATAGGTCTGAACAAGAGCCCGTTCCACTCCATCCTCCCTTCCCTTGTGACTTCTTTGTTCTTGGCATTAATTGCTGTGTGTGGGGAGGGGGGGAGTAGATTGTTAAATGTATTTGATGCAATTTTAAAACTAAATAACTAAAGCTTTAAATAAACATGCTTATATTAAAACATAGTAAAACAGGCTGGCAACCTCAATTGAAATACTAAAATTAAAAACAAATTCAAGACAAAACGATCATAGAATCACAGAGTTGGAAGAGACCTCGTGGGCCATCCAGTCCACCCCCCTGCCAAGAAGCAGGAAAATCGCATTCAACGCACCCCCAACAGATGGCCATCCAGTCTCTGTTTAAAAGCCTCCAAAGAAGGAGCTTTCAGGAAGAGACTTCTGCTTCCTTGTTACACCTTGGCATAAGTTACCGTAAGTACAAAGCTATGTATTTCCTACAATACAGTGCTACTTACCATCTCTAGAGAGTATAGCCCTGTGAATGTTGCTCTTAACTGATCCACAGCTTCAGGTTTATTTGGCAGAAATCTTTCTAGACTTCCTGGTCTGCTGAGCTCCTGCTGAACCTTTTTGGTCCCAACAAGTTGAGTGGCAATATCTGGACATTTGACTGCTCTAGACCGTTCCAGCAACAACCGGGCCTCCCAGTTCTTTAGGACGGATATAAAAATATAATTTCAGTCTAGCTTGTTACAATATGAAGCATATACAAAGGTCACAGCGGAGAGAATGGAGCCCTCGGTAGCGCAGTGGGTTAAAGCACTGTGCCGGCAGGACTGAAGACCGACAGGTCGCAGGTTCGAATCTGGGGACAGGCGGATGAGCTCCCTCTATTAGCTCCAGTTCCTCATGTGGGGACATGAGAGAAGCCTCCCACAAGGGTGATAAAACATCAAAAATCATCCGGGCGTCCCCTGGGCAACGTCCTCGCAGACAGCCAATTCTCTCACAACAGGAGCAATTGCTCCTGACACGACAAAAAAAAAAAAAAAAGCGGAGAGAATAAACTCCAAGGTTGATACCTGTCTTCACAATTCCTTGGAGGAGTGGGATTGTATGCTACAAGGTAAGCATACTTGAGTACAAACATATGTGCCACTACCATTCAACTCAGGGTAGAGGAAAACATCGTCAGCTCAATGCATACTTTCCAGAGTATGACCTCAAACAGGAGTCAGAAAGACATCACTTGTGCTTTATAAAAGTCAGCTGCCGTACTGCAAGTCAGCATTACTGTAAAGTTTTGGAAATGAATACATCCCTGTATTAACTGAAAACCTCTTTCACATACTTTATCAATGCAAATCAGAAGTCAATTTTTATATGGGGAAGTGTTAATTGAATATATGTAATACTTTTATGTTGTAGTTTTATTTGCTTCTGCATTATTATGATGGTTTTACTTTTTTATTACACACTCCTCTGAAACTGGAATTTGATGGAGGGTGGTTTTAAAAGATTTAAATAAGCTATATCAATATCTTACAGTTATGTTTGTGAAACACTAATACCAACCTGTTTATTATAATTCTTTGGAACATAACCTTCTCTGTAATATACCACTGCAACCTCATCTCCATCTCTGGAATAAAGAAGATATAAAAAAGTAACATTCCTTTCTACTATTTACATGCACGTTTTCCACAAGCACACTCTAAACCAGTAAACCACACTCTAAACTCCAGTTCTCAGCACGCCTGGCCAACTTGTCCAATGGTCAGGAATTCTGAGAGCTGGAGCCCAAAACACCTGGAGGACCAAAGATTGGATACCACAGTGAATATTAATATTATATTGTTCTGCAGATCTTTTCTATTGTAGCAGAACTTAATCTAACACTGAGAAGTGTTTCTCAAATATTTTTAAAGTGACATAAAGCTATGAATGTTACTGTTTTCCAAAATATACATAAACATAGGACTTTTATCTAGTGAATCAAAATAGACAATTAAATGAGCTCATGGTCCAAACTCCATCTTATGGATACACAGATTAATTTATTTCCTCAATTCTTCAATATAGTTTGGCGGTAACATCCCATCATCTCATTTCAGGGCAAAAGTGGACAACCGAAAGTTTAAGAATTATAATGTTGTAATGGTGAGAGAACACTTTTAAGCAAGAGGATTGGTTATGTCATGATAACCTAAAATGCATTTTTTATTAAATGGTTAAAAAACTCATATGTTCATCAGAAATCTATCACATACTTAATCCACCTGTATAGTTTAATACATATCAAGACGAATTAATGAATATGCTCAAGCATCTGACACTATTTAGGTTTAATTATGCAACTTGTTTTGTTATTCTTTTAGACAAATGCTAACAATAAAATAGCAGAAATATTCTTGCAGCTGCACACAATGTCCAAATTCACTGGCCAACATTTGGAGAATACTTACATGTATAATCGTCTGTCGTTGTCCAGAGACGCTTTTTCAAACACATCTTTAAATCTTCTTCGAATCACCCGGATATTCCTTTAAGACAAAAGACATTGCACTTTAAACTGGGCACTTTAAACTTGTGTTAAATGTGGCCTGTCTTTGGAGATGTTTTTTAAAACTTTACTTGTTCAAAATGCAGCATATATTTGAAATACATCCTTATAGTACTAAAAAGGTGGATTCCAACTTGTTCCAGGTAAAATTAAAGGTACGTGATAAGGCCCTACATAGCTTGGCAATACTATTTCTGAATTATTTGTATCACAGATCTTCCAGTGGTTCAGTTTATATGCAATAAGGTATAACTCTTATTCAGTGTCACCTCACTTTTGAAATTTCTCTGCAAAGATGCACATTGGTTGAAAACTCTTCTAGCTTTTAGGTGTCACGTATAGAGTATATTTGGTCGGCTTACTTTATTTTTGTTTTCATGATTTTATTGATATTTTATTATGTTCAGTTGTTTATTATGTTTTATAATTACTCTAACTAATTAATTTCAGCAGTAACTTTTGTGCACTTCATCAGTGCCTGTATTTATTTATTGTACCAGGAGGAAACCAAACAGTTGTATTGTATTTTTAAAAACCCCACAAAGTTTGCAAACTTGGAATTCTATTAAATGTCCTATGACAAGTAGCTGGCCACGTGGAGTGCCTCTGGTGTTGTATCTGTGAAAAAAGTGATTTCCAAAAAAGCTCCTGTTGAAATAAATCAACCTTAAAAGTGGATGTTATTTTACCGCTTTCTTTTCTTTTTCATGCATTAACAGACTATGTGATCTCTGGAAATAAACAATTGTTATGGATACAATTACCTCTTCCAAAGTTCATTTTCTATACAGCGTTGGTCAAAAATATTTCTCTGAACCTCTTCAACCAGGAACATAACCACTGCTCTGAAACAAAAATAGAACATATATCAATATGGGAGCTCTAGCAGTTGCCTCCTCATTTCAAAATACAATTAACTGTTTATTACTTGATTTATTTCTGAATTAGTGTCTGCTGAGGTGATCTTTGGTTTATAAGGAACATATCCAAAGGGACATAATAATGACCAAGTGTTGATTTATTTGATT